GGACTCACCGGGCCAACCCTTCAGAATCACCGTGAATAACCCCGCAGTCTCTGGGTCAGGCCTCCCTCCCCCTCCCCCACCCTTGCAACAAAGCAGCAGGAGCCCGGAGAGAGGCAGGCAGCAGTCAACCAGACAGGCCCTCCCTGGGGGCTTCTGAAAAGGATTTCAAGCCGGAGATGTGAGTGACGCGGCCCAGGGCATCCAAGGGATAACTGCCACTCTGTGTAAAATATGAAGCTGGGCGACCAGGGCGTGAGCCCTGAGGGCAGGAGTCACAAGGGCAGGTTCTGGGGCGGAAGGAACAGGGAGACCTTCTTGGCCCTGCTGCTCCTAAATCATGCTGGGTAAACACGCAAAGGAAAACCTCCCCGGGGGCCCAGCCAGGCTTTGCCAACCAACCAGAAGGCAGCGGAATCATAAATCAATTGCATTTGCACCAAACAGATCCTGAAGAGTTATTTTGAACATGACTTGACCCCAAAAAAAATTCTCTGGAACTGAATCAACCTAAGAACATAAACAGAGAATAGGGAAATGTTCGTTTCCCTCCTCTCCTGAGTGATAAGGCTGAGAAGATGAGGGCATGAGGCCCCAGGGCTGGGCTGTACCCAGGGAGGGCTGCCTCCTTCCCCCGCCCCAAGGTGACAGGGTCTTCCACAGAACAGCCACTGCCGCCAGCAGTCATGCATGAGGGAAGAGGGGCCCCCGGCAACCTCCAACCTGCCCAGGAACCAGGGCCTGCACAGGGCTTTGTCTCTGGCTCTGGAACCAGCTTGAGGCTCTCATGCATGGGCTGTGAGGCCACTGAGTCAGCCCTGGCCAGCGGGTGTTCTCTTTCAGTGATATACACCCACATCCACGGAAAGAGGTCCTGAAAGCCTGAGCTTTGAAGTGATCGGATGTCAACGCAAGGGGCCTGAATTTCCCAATCTTTCATAATGCATGAATATTTTATCATTTTTAAAAGGCAGCATTGTTGAGCAAAAAATTTTTTCCTGTTACCAAAGTTACTAACTGTAGAAGATTTAGAAAAATAGAGAGAGCCCAAAAGGGGGAGATGCTCACCTGGAATTATAATGCCCCCACCCACATATATTCTATTGAATCTACTTTTATACTTCATAACATGTACTGGACATTCATATGTCACTGGCCTCCTCCTGCAACGCCACTGTACTATGGTTCGCAGGATTCTGCTAAATGAATGAGCCATGCTTCAAGTAACTCACCCCTTCCTTCCAGGTTTTCAGTCAATAACTATCTCTCGCTAGCCCACCACAGGCAGGTTATCATACTGCCATCCTCCCAATACACCTGCCCTGTGCAGACGCACAGTAGGACTGCACTTTCTTGCCCCTGAGTTAATAATGCCATGTCACTTGTTTTGGCCAGTGGAATATGAGCAGAGATAATATCCACACAGAAGCTTTAAGAGCCAATGACGTTTGAGAACGTTCTCTCTTTTCCTGCTTCAGCCCACAGAGGAGCTGGAGACAGAGCCTCCTGCAGCCTGGTCTCTGCCAGCCCAGCCCCAGCCAACCAACAATGGGTGTGCAGCACAATGGGGCAGCCGACTCTGGTCTCAGCTGTTGGGATGGGGGACTGTTTGGTTTCTGTGACAACCGTGTAATGGACTGGCCTCGGGGCTGATGGAGAGACAAGGTTAAAGAGTCCCATCCACGTGTGGAATCTGATGAACAAAATAAAGTAACAAAATAGAAACAGACTCATAGATAGAGAGCAGACTGACAGCTGTCAGAAGGGAAGGGGGAGAGGGACTGGATGAAAGAGATGAAGAGATTAAGCAAAAAAAATTTCATAGACACAGACAATAGTGTGGCGATTACCAAAGGGGAAGAGAAAGGGGGAAAGGAGCAGAACGCACAGTACGATATAGACATGTATTAATAGAATTATACACCTAAAGTCTATATAATTTTATCAACCAGTCACCCCCATAAATTCAATTTAAAAAAAAGAGTCCCAATCCTCCAAGTGTGTGTGGTCTTAACTAGAAGCCTAAACACAAGGAAAGGGTCCAATACAGAGCAGCAAATCGGCATTCAAAGCGGAGCTGTTGCACGGTCGCACGCAGAGTCGACAGGTCCGGCCCTGGCAGGCCGCCACTGAGAGGGGCGGCCGGAGCAGAAGGACGGCTCCTGGGCACTGGGGCGGCCTGGGCTGACTTCCTGCAGGAGGACTGCCGCGGAGGCCTTTGAAGGTTGGGGGCATTCGAGGGCAGGGATGGGAACAAGAGATCCAGGAGGGTAGCAGAGCAAAGGCCTTACAAACAAGCAAAACAGGGAGCCCAGAGGACTGCTGAGTAGGTGATTTTGTGTGAAGCAGGGGTTTGGAGAGTGAGAGCTGGAGGCAGGCCCGGAGAGAGAGAGGGGCCAGGCTGGGAGAAACCGCCACCGCGTGGAGAGGAACCTCGCCTCCGCCCTGGGCCCCGCCCTTCCTGCGGGGGAGGGTGCCTCTGTGAGCCGCCTGGCCAGGAATGGCATCGCTGAAACTGCCTTGGGAGGCCGAAAGTGTTTTGTTTCAATCACACGAATGCTGTTTTCAAGAGCGGGTCTGACTTCAGATACAGTCAAAACTCTCGTGGTTTGCTGATCTGGCTTGAGCAATCACTCCCAGCAGCTACAGGTGTGGGCTGCACTTCCGACCTCGTGAGGCCTGCAGTCGGCCTCGTTCCCTCTGTCGATCACTGTCAGTCGGTCAGTGTCAGTCCGGGGCTGTCAGTCCGGTAGCTCGTCGGCGAGCACAGCACTGGGCTGCTCCTGGGCAGTGTGTCCGTCTGCCTCTCTGTTCGTTCCCAGCACCTGTCCTGCGTTTGCACCCAGAGGTGGGTGTGGCATCCCTGCAGGAGGACAGAGAGCGGATGTCGTTGCCTGGGGAACTCAGAACAAAGGGATGGCTAAGCTGGGTCGGGGCCTTGGCCCCCTCACTTCAGCTACGTCAGCTGCAGGGCTGGGCTGCTGGCTCTGGGAGCTTCTGAGCTCTAGAGGACATCAGTTCAGAAGTGAGTCAAAGGAAACACGGTCGCCTGTGGACCCTGAAGGGACAGGCCGCTCCCCAGTGGGTTTTGTCAGCCTCACACCAAGTGCTGGTGTGGGCACAAGCTCAGCACTGACCAGACTCCCACGGGGACACCTCGGTCCCTGTAGCTGCAGGCCCTTCCAACTGCCTCTGGGGAAAGCTCTGTTGTCTGTGTGTGGGCAACGCAGGTTTTTTTCCTAAGGGAAAAAGAGAATAAACACAGTAGCAATTTTCTTAGCTAGAACCACAGTTGTGGGGGGAGCATCCTTAACCCTGGTGCATCCCCAGATTTGAACATTATTGTGGGCATTTGTTTGGTCCGCCTAGATACTGTCTCCACTTCTCTGAAGGAACTGCTCACCATCCTCATCAAGCCCTGAACCCCCACCAACTCTGGGGGTCAGGGGGAAGCTGACAGTCACAGTGTGTGCCCCCATGCTGCCAGAGGCCTGGGCTTGAGACCCGAAAGGACCGAGGGTAGCACCTCACAGTGATTTGATTGGTCCAGGGGTGGGCACATGACCCAAGCCAGCCAATCAGAATTCTCCCCAGGATTTTCCGGAAGCCGCTTCTTGAGTACTTTAGCTAGAGGGACCTGTGCCTAGGCCTGCCCACCTTTGAAAGAGAATAATCCCACACGCAGAAGAAAACAGGAGAGTCCTGACAGAGTTCAAGCTCCTAATTGCAGCCAACCCCGCAGCAGCCTCCACTCCTCACCTGGCCTCCTGCCACCTGGTTTGTAACCTGAGCGCCTGGCCTCATACAGACCAGTGTACTTGCTGCCTCGTTAGAGCTACCCCTACTGACATCTTGTAGCCATTTGGAAGAGGCCGACTCAGTGTGTGGTTTGCCCAAGACCCTTGACTTCCCCTTTTTACCTTCTTGCGTGACAGGCCAGCAGAAAAAAACCAGGAGGCCCACTCAGTCCTCAGCAGATGCAGTAGGGTGAGGCCCAGGGGACCAGCATCTGCTATAAAGTGTACGTGGCTCCTCTGGGGCTTCAACCCCTTTCACTCAGTGTTTGTTACTAACACACACTCCGAAGGGGGAAGATTCTTGCTTGTCCCACAGGGCGGTTCCATGGGCTGTGACCTGTGCAGTCAGTCACACAGGGCCCTGCACTTAGAAGAACCTCACAGCTGTTTGAAGGCCCTGCTGTCACCGTCCTGAAATTCTCAATCACTGTTGAACAAGGGGCTTTCCATTCTAATTTTGCATGGGGCCCACGTGTAATAGGTTCTGGCTCCATTCATTCCCTCCTGGTGGCATTTGTGATTCCAATTAATTGCCCTGTTTCCCAGAGCCCCCTCCCCCATGCCCCATCCCTTAACGTCTGGTTAAGAACAACTCCTTTTCCCCTCTCAGGGGACATTTCTCCCAGAGGCAGGGAGACAGTCACACAGGCAGCCAGCTGGCAGCCAGCTCCCGGCTCCCTCTCTGAGTGCTCTGCAAAATCCTGGGAACTGGGATTCATTTTATCTGGAAGGAAGCCCACACAAGTGGCTTCTTTGGCTTCCACCCCTCAACCCCAACCTTCTGCAGTCCTGCCTGGAACCACCTCCCCGCCCCCCCCCCCCCCGCCCGGCCGTGGGGAAGCGGCACCAGTGTAAACGTGGCAGCCACACCTCCTGAGACCAGAGCAGCCAAGGGACCCGCTGCAGGCTCACACAAGAGGAGCGTCGTTCTGTGAAGACACAGCCGAGCAGCCCGTGTCCCGGGAAACAGCCTGCAGAACAGCCAGCAGAGGCATGTCCTTGCCTTGGGCCTCGCTGCTGCTCCTAGAAAAGGCAGATTCCGGCCTCCTCCCCACCCCCCAGGGGTGGAGTAACACGGAATAAAGCAGCCGTAAAATAACCTCAGTCTCCACACCCACAATATTGAACACAAAAAACCAGCCTGGGGGAAAAGGCGCCCTGGGAAGAACTGGTATGCCGTTTGACCGTGAAGAGTCCAGGTGTGGGTAAAAGTGATTTATTTCTGGAGCACAGTAAGAGCCATGCAGCTTAGAACATTTCATTCGCCCGTCCCATCCATGTTTTTTTAAAGATTTTATTATTAATTTTCAGACGGAGGGGAAGGGACAGTGAAAGAGAGGGGGAGAAACATCAGTGGTTGCCTCCCATGTGCCCCCTACTGGGGACCTAGCCCGCAACCCAGGCATGTGCCCTGACTGGGAATCGAACTGACGACCCTTTGGTTCAGAGGCCAGTGCTTAATCCATTGAGCCACACCAGTCAGGGTTCATCCATGTTTTGTGTCACAAAGACATACCAAGACTTTGGAAAAAATTCCAAAGGGGATTACATTGAAATGTGCTGTTTCTTCACTTGTTTTGTGCTTGTCTTAGTCACAGCAACCAAATGAAATAGCTTTACAGCTTACTAAAACTCAAACTTGTCCTCTCAGGAAGGAGTTTACACACTTCTACCTGTAAATCAGCAATGCAATGAGTCCACATCAGGAGACAAACGCAGCTCTAAAATAAGCTTGTCATGTCACAAGAAAAAATAATCAAAAACACCAAAAATAATAAAGTAAAATAAAAGAAATTGCCAAAAGAAAGAAAGACCAAGAGGAAATCCAATTTATCTAGAGAGAGTGATGGCCCCTCTTCAGGCCTGGATTCCCATATAACAAGGTAGTTTGGGTGGGGGGGGAGGCAAGGGACAGGTCTGTCTGAAGCCATGTTAAGAATCCAGTTTAAAAGGGTGCATGGGTTCAGACAGACACAACATCACCATATCTCCAATGGCAGCAATGACCATGAATTAGAGGGCCAGGAGTAGATTCTCCTGGGGTGCGTCCTGGGCTACACCAACAGTGCAGCCAGTAACACACCAAGAAGAGCTTCCCCCGTTCTTGACAGTCTGCAGGAAGCTTGCAGGAGTTGGAGCTGGTTTTCCAATGGGAGATGCCTCACAGTCTCTGCCATGGCCCAGCCACCAAGTTCCTTCACGAACAAGCCAGCCCAGACCTGCAGAGCTGGACTCGTAACCCAGAACCAAAGGGCGGATGCCGCTCAGAGATGCCGGAGGACACAGGGTCCATGCTCCAGCAACATCATGTGCAATGGTAATTTCATGTCCATTGCACATGGGTGAATCACTTCTCCCCAAAATTCAAAGCAGTAGCTGCTGGAAAAAACAGTCACAGTGCGAGGTGGCAGTAAGCCTCCACTACTGAGTCTCATCCCAGCTCGCCTCCAACCAATCTGGAGGTTTCTGAGCAAAAGGGTCCGGGTTGTGAGGTGTGGTTCAGAAGCCTCCGTCAGTGGAGGGCCTGTGCTGGACCCCCTGTCCCTGAGTCAGATGAGGTATCCAGCTGTGTCCATGTGTGTATGCTGTGTGCAGGGGGTGAAGGCCGTGCCGGCAGGACGTCGGGACGATGTGCCCCTGCCACACCTCCAAAGACCAGCACTGGCACATCAGAGTGACAAGTGGCTCCCCAAACACCAGGCTGGAACTCTGTGCTGCCCGCATGATGTTGTAAGGGAAAAAGGTCATGTGACAACCACAAACACCAAAGCCTCCACTGGCCAACTGACTACCAGCTTTGAACACAATCTGATGCAATGAAATTCAAGACCACTTATCAGGCTCTCTCAAACTTTTGCCCATGACGCACATTACATTCACATGGGTACACAGGCACACACACATAACAAATGAGTTTCATGTGTGCTCAGCCTGATTATATGGTGTATGCTCCCAGACTGCCTGCTCCACTGCATTTCTGGTGGGACCCGCTACACTGATCTAGTGACTGGTCTGTGGGTCCCAACTGCAGGCTGACGGAAACAGCCCGGAGTCGTCCAGACGAGCCCTGGGAGCCGGGTGGGACTCAGTCCTCTGGCAGGAGGAGAAATCACACCCCCACAGAGGTAGCCAAGTTCCCTGGAGGTCATGGAACTCCAGCAGCAGCCCTACGTCGTCAACAAATCACCAAGTGCCATGGTGAGCATGGGTGACGGTGAAGAGGCTGGCTTCCCTGACCGTCCTTAAAAAAAGGCCGCTCACCGCAGGTGGGACGACTCAGGTGTTAAGCGGGCAACCACAGGCCAAGTGGTTGGTCAGGGACATCACTGGCGGTGGCTTGGATTCACTCTTTAGGGGTTTCCCATGGGCGAACCAGACTGTTGGCATCTCTGGATGAGGTCAATGAGCCTGGTGACGTCAGAGACAGCGGGGAACAGGGCCATGACCCGGTCCACTTGGTGGGGCGGGAAGATGCTGCAGAGCGCTGTGTACGCATGCGCCCGTGAGTCCTGCTCACTGGCTGGGGCCCCTGTTGCTGACCCCAAGGGCCCCCACAAGGCACCTTCACCCCAGCCCAGTTGCGCCCAGGCTGAGCGTCCCGGGAACCGAGTGGCCCCATGATGGAGGGCCCATGGATCGGTAGGCCCCCTTCGGTGGGCTAGCAGGTCACTCTGCGGGTCCCGAGGGCGGTCCCCAGCCGGATCCCCAGCCTGCGCCTGGACCAGCGGGCCTGACTGGCTCTGGGGATTCAGGAGGCCAGGAGAGACTGGCAGGCACAACGAAGGCCTAGGGGCCACCCAGTCCCGCAACCCGGGTGCGAGGCCGCAGCCGGGGCCTGGCGAGGGCGCCCTGAGGATTCCCGGATCATCGCTGAAGGCAAGCCGCGAGAGGCCGTCCTCGAGGTCCACCACATCGGCAGGCCGCCTGGCTGAGGGTAGGCTGCGAGTGCCAGGCTCCCGAGGGCCGGGCCAGGCAGCCGCGGGGACTCCCTGGTGCTCCCTCCGGCCCCTTGGCCGCTCCTCGTTGGCGCTCGCGCCCCGCCAGGTCCGAGTTTGGGCGCGAAGCTCGTCAGCTACTGCCAGCTGCGCGTGGTGCGGCCTCTCAGGGTGGTAGAACTTGCACTTGATGCCGTAGGTGCATTTTTTGCCTGGAAGGGGCAGGGCAGAGACAGGGCGCTGGGTGAGACCCAAGGCAGGAGAGGCTGTGTGGCCTGGTGCGGGGGCCCTGCAGCCTTTCTTCTCCAAGATGGTGCGGGTAAAGCTCCCAGGCCTCAGAGTTATCAGGATTAGGCAGGACGGGGTTGGGGACGGTGCGCGGGCACTGCACCCTGTGGACCCGCACCAGGGCGCAGTGCCCGCCTCCTGCGTTATGGGGCGCTGGGCACAGTGACTCCGTATCAGGTGGGCCAGTGTTCATCTGAGAAACTCCCTCTGGCCAGGGACTGAGACCAATGTCTCGATCCAATGGCCACCACCTCCACTCTCCCAGGAACCTGTGGATAATGCCAAGCTTGGGGTGGAGGAGGAAGAGGGCAGTGGGCACTTATGGCCTAGGATTGTGTCTCCAGTGCTGCCTCAGTTTCCCTGTGTGTCCACATCCCTGTGCTAACCATTGCCCTCTCCCGACAGACTGTCCTAACAGGTGATCAAACAATTCTCATCACAACCTGGGCACCTCTGAGGGTGAAAGGCAGCAGAATGCACAGACCTAAATGTATGTCACCTTAATTCTCACATGAAGTGACTCTACCTATCACCTACGGCTTTTTGAACTTCTGTGGGCACAGAAGCCAAGGCCTGGGGACATTAGGTAACTTGCCAAAGCAAGTTTGTGAGAGCTGCCGAGAAGGCCGGCTCCTGGAAGGGCTCTGGACAAAAGCCTCTGAACAGAAAGCACTGACCTACGTCCATAAGGGGCAGGGTTGGGGGTGGAGCTTCACGGGACAGAACAGAACCAGGGTGCAGGGACGGAGAAAGGGGACCAGGGGAGCACAAAACCTCCCTGCTTCCCAGACAGGCTTTGCCCTGTGTGTGACCCCTGTATCCCGCCCCCAAAAAATACTTCCATGCGACAGGCATGCGGATGTCGATCATCCTTAGAACAGCCCTGCCAGGAAACTGCCATTAAGACCCAAGGCCCTGAGCAGGGCCCACGAGGCGCAGGGTGTCACCTACCGTAGGGGCAGTGCTGCCAGGACGGCTCTGGGGGCTTTGGCTTCCGGCTCAGGAAGTTGCTCAGGGTGGGTCCCCGGCGGCCCAGGGGGTCGTCAGGAGGCATGAACCTGGAAAACAAGCACAGGGGGGGCAACGGGGACTGAACAATTCCACCTGCGTGGTGAGCACCCAGCGAGGGGGCGGCAGCCCTAGACACAGCCTCAGGCAGGCTACCGGCCAGGGCTCTCCCTGCCCCCAGGGGGTCATGGGGAGCTGAAGCAGCACAACCCTTCCTCTCACCAACCTCAGGACAGCAGCCCCTGGGCCTCCTCCAAGACTTTCTCCCACTGAGGTTCCAGCCGGCAGGACTGGGATCACCCAGCAAGTCCTTTTCAAATGCAGGTCCCTGGCTTCCTACCAGACCCACCTACTCGGAATCTCGAGTTGTTCGGTAATCTGCATGTCAACGATGCCCATGTGATTTTTATCTTCTCAAACAGAGGCATAATTGCTCTGGGTCCCCTGGGTCGTACTCTGAAAGCCACTCTGAGCTGCCTCCCCTTGTCCTCGACAGAGAAGGTCGGAGACCTCCGAGGGGCTACCAACAGCCCTCATCCTCTGAGCTCCCGGAGGCTCACACCCCATTTCTGCAGCGTCGCCCCCACAGCTGTGGCACATACAGGGTGAGGATCACTATTTACAGAGTTTGGAACACCCTCTAGGAGTCCACAGAGCTACGAATCCCAGCCCCGCCCCCCGGCAGGCCTACGCCTCCTTTGCAAAGCTGGGGCTCTGGGTGGGTTAGGCCTCAGCTCCCAGCTGCCTGACCTGGACCATGACCTCTGACCCACCCTGACCCTGCCTGCCCCTTCCCTCTTCCCTGGCATTGGTCTAACAAGGAAGGGAGTGCATCTTCAAGGGGCTCACAGCTCAAAGGGGAAAACAACATTCCTGAGGAGGAAAACTCCCCTGGCTGAGTGCCACCCACTTTTTATAGGAATACTTTTGTTCCCCAGGGGACACGCCCAGGTCGCAAACAGGCTCTGCTGGAGGGGTTGGGGATTCTAAATGGAGGGTCTGTGTTTACAAGCTTGTGTCCCCCTAGGGTCCCACCCTGCAGACCCTGTCCACCAGGCTGGCCTGGAGCTGGGCGATCCTGAGCAGCCTCTGCAGCTCAGATCCCAGCTACACAGCTGGCTTCTCCGAGTTGGGCCCCAACCAAGAATCTGGGGAGCCGCCCACTGCGGTTATTAAAAGTTCTCAAAGGCTTCACCTCCTGCTCTCTCCCGGCCTCACAGCTGCCAGCGGGTTAAGAGGGCCCTACGGACGTGCCCAAGGCGCTGGGGCAGGCATCCGCGCCCACAGGCAAGCCGGCGGGCTCTGCCTCTGGCAGCCAAGCGACCTTCTGGCAGACCCTCAGCAGAGGCCTGTGCGTCAAAAAAACCTTGGCCTGGGCCCCGGGCTGTCAGCAGGCCAGAGGCAGCCATGATCTCTCCGACCTCAGTGAGGGTTTTCTGGAACCCACAGAGACCAGACTTGCCAGAGTCCTCCAGGCCTAAGCCAGGGGGAGGGAGCCACCAGCCTTGTGTATGTGCAAATGACCACAGGGGCTACCACAGGGTAGCTGCCACGAGCATTGGCCTGGGGCTCAGGGCGTATTCCACCTCTACAATTGTAGTGGCCACGGGCTAGTGGGGGCCACAGCATCCCCTGGAGGCCTGCCTCCTGGCCTAGCCTGAGAATAACTGGGTACAATTCTCTCTCGACCCCACAACCATCTCAGACATGTGATTAATCCAAGTACAGTTCATGCAGTATAAAGAACATTCAGCTCAGTGAGGCTCAGTGATTTCCCCATGACACAGCCAGTAATGGTAGAGCTTCAGTCTGAAGCCTCACCTCCTGCCTCCCAAGGCCCCAGCTCTTTCCACCACACCAGGCTGCTTCCCGGGCTTCTGGGTCAGGGGCTGGTCTGCCGTGTGCAAGTGGCCGGACCCAGCTGACATGTCGCCTCCTCCCTCCCCTTTCTCCCTTCCCCAGACTGTGGCCACTCCCTCATCTATAACCAGTTACTGAGTGCCCGTGATGTGCCAAGCATGTGTGGGCCACGGCACATGAGATACAGTGCCTGCCTTTACAGAGTCGGGGAGCTTGTCTCAAACCACATTCCCAAAAGCCAGTGGGAGAGCCCAAAATGAGGACCGAGCCCTCATGGCCTGGAACACAAATAAGGTGGGAGTGAAGTCCCGGCTTGCTCGCCCTCCGCACCTCACCCCACCCTGTGCTAGTCTCAGACCCGCACCACCCTTGCGGGGCCCTAGGCCGTGCCCTCCACGTGCCTGAGCACGTTTGTAGTGGATCAGTCACTGCTTTCTCCCCAGCTTAGCTCGGTCTAGGGGCCCTCGCCCAACATCTGCTAATGCACTTGTGCCTTGTGGCTCTCGAGTAGCTGGTGAGTCCAGGATGGACCTGACGCAGGGGAACCAAGCTAGGAGTTAGATGCACCAAGCAGATCCTCTTGAAAATTTCTACCAAGAGGTACTGAAACAGAGTCAGTTCCAAGATCCTGACAGCCCCAAGACGTTGCTGCCTACTGCACTCTAAAATTGAAAACTTAAAAAAAAAAAGGAAAACAAAAACAGCGGGAGAAAGTACAACAAAATTCAGATTTCTCCCCTAATATCTGTTCTAGTGCTTTTATTGGAAGTATTAGATTCTTTCAAGATAAAAACAAAAAGTTTACGGTGCCCCCAAGCCCATGCTTGGCCCACCTGCTGGACACCTCTGTGCTGGACCAGCCCGATGTGGACAAGGGAGCAGAAGGGTCACGGACAGCTGGGGCAACATGGCCCTGTCGGAGAAAGCTGGTCACAAAAGTGAGGAGACGCAGAGACACTGAGGCTGTGCAGCCTGGGGGCGCGGAGAGGGCGACCAGGGACCAGCTGTCCCTGTGCCTGGGCATCCTTTGCTTCCAGCACGGTGTGCCTGTGACGGCCAGCCCCGCGGGGCCTCACTAGGTGAAATGGTTTTCTTCCCGTCACCCCCTACCCCAGCCGTGCCAGGCCCCCTCGGCCACCACGTACCGGTCGTTGACGAAGGAGAACATGAGCAGCCTCTGCTCAATGAACCACTTCCACTCAGGGTTCTCGCTTTGCAGGTCACGGTAGTTGTCATTGGAGACGATGATGCCGTCCCATTCGTAGGCCACCTTCACAATGTAGCGGTCATCGTAGCAGACCACGCGCTTGCCGTTCACCTTGCGAGACGGCGTGTACACGAGCACCTCCTGCCTCTCCAGCTCCTCCAGCACGTGCTGCTCTGGGGGCCACAGGGCGGGGGACAGCATGTAGCAGCTTTCCCAGAGGACTGCCCACCCCTAAGAATCACTGTAAGATCACAGAGCACATTTGGCAACTCGGGGATCCCCTCTGAGCCAAATCCCGCCTCCCCTGCCCTATAACTCAACACATCAGAAGAGGGGGGAGGTCTTGAGCAGAATAAGCCAGCTGCCGCAGGTCAAGAGGGCTCTTGGCTTCTCTCTGCCTCAGTCATTTAACACTGTGTCGGTGAGGTTTGGCCACAGTGACACAGTCACTGCTGTCAGCTTTGCACGTAAGTCTCTGGGTATAGAAATACAAGGGTGTCACTCTGGGAGTGATATGACTGAGTGACAGGGAAAGGTGCTTTACAAGATAATGCCAGGTGGTCCTCCAGAGTGGTTACACCAGGTTATACCCAACAGCCCAACCCAGCATCAAGACGACCTTGTCAACACTAGGCATTCTCAGGTTTTTTAATTTTAGCCAACTTGGTGGGTGTAAGTGTCTTCTTGTTGTGGTTTGATTTTGCATTTCTGTAGTTACTAACAAGATTGAGCATCTTTTCATGTTTATTGGCCAATTTATGTTTTCTCTGAAAAACCTATCCATGCATTTTGCTCATCTTTTTATTGGTCCTTTGTCTTTGTCTTATTAATCTGGAGATATTCCCTAACATTCTCTGTCAATTCTGGACAGTCATCCTTTATCGGGAATATGTGATGTCTAGCATCTCCAGTTGGAGGCGCGCCTTTTCATTTTACTGTTCTTGTGGTAACACTAATGAACAGAAGCTTTTATTTTAATGTAGTCAAATTTATGAATCTTTCTCCCACACATTTGCACTTGCTGTAGCTTGTTTAAAAATTCCTTCCCTACCCCAAAATGATTTCCCCACTCTTCACCCACACTAGATTTAAATATTGCACAGCTGCTGACAGCTGCTCAGACCATACAGAATAGTCCCCACGTCCAAACCATGCAGAGTAGTCTGGGGCGACCAGTTCATGATGGAGAACTGGATGCAAGTACTCACGCCCTGCTCCTCATAATCCCACTGAAATGGCAGTAAAAAAGTACAAAGCGGGAGGGGACCCTCGATCACATTAAAAATGGGTTGGGAGCTCTGACTGGCGTGGTTCAGTCGGTTGGGTCTCCTTCCAAAAGCAAAAAGTCACGGGTTCAATTCCCAGTCAGGGCAAATGCCTGGGTTGGGGGGTCCACCCCTATATGGGCCATGTGCAAAGGGCAACCAACCGATGTTTCTCTCCTCTCTTTCTCCCTCTTTTCCCCTCTCTCTAAAAATAAGTAAATAAAATCTTTTTTTTTTAATGGGCTTGGGGACAGTAGCAAACCGAGGATTTGGACACATTTTTGGAAGATAGGAAGCAGATAGAATCGTATTGACCCTGCAGTGCAAAGGAGCCACAGACAGGAATGTGTGAAGAAGGCTGAAGAGGAGCTGGAGCCATTTTCTCTGAAAAGCCCCCGGGCTCCAGGCACCACGAAGGGGGAAGGGAGTCCGCAAAACCAAAGGGGGCTAACGGAAGGGCTGCCCGTGGGCAGCTGCACCCCCCTTTCCCTACGCCCGAGGAAAAGGGAAGCGGAGGTTCCCAGGTGGCCTTTGACCACCTAGAGCAGTAATTTCTGACCAATGGGCTGCAAGAATTTTTAAAACATGGGTGTGCCATGACACACTGGATGACTAGTGGGTGTCAGGTATGGCGTGTTTAAAACTGCTTGCATCACGCTGGTTGAAAATTGCTGCCCTAGAGCAAAAGCGTCATCACCGTGGCACCGGAAGTGTGGTGGCTGTGGGCGCCCAGCTGCCTGCCCACCCTGCACCAGCGGGCGGCGCCACCGTCAGCGAAAGGTCCGCATTCTAAGAGAGAAAGCCGACGGCAACTGCACAGATATGTATGTATATAAATAGTTAGTTAACCAATCTGGTTTTTTACTCAGAAGTAAAAACTGGAAACCAAAAGATCACCAGATTTTTGAGAGGAAGACACAACAGCACAAAAAAGAAAGAGCTACAAGCAGAGGTGAACGAAGGGAACTGACCAGAGAGAAAATAAATGTAATTTGTGGAACCTAAGATAATTTGTGAAGGTCTATAGAAATAGTAAAGAATTATCACAGAGACGGTGAAAAAGATACTGTATCCATAAGATAAGAATAGCATTTTATCTACAAAATAGAGACTCCAAAAGAGAAGTAGAAGCAATTGGTAACCATTTATGGTATTAAAAGCAAAAATTTGGGGTAAAAAGGCTGGAAGACAAAGTCAGAGAAATCTCCCAGAATCACCAGGAGGTGAACCCTGCCCTCACGGACTTGGCTGAAACAAGGCTAATGGCGCAGCATCTGACTTCTTGTTATATACTTTTAAATAATCCTACCTAAGAACTAAAAATAAAGAATTCCCTGGACTCTGTCTCCCATTTTTTTTTTAAATGAAGAAACTAGACTATGGATTCAATAAATAAATATGGCATCACCAGGCCAAATGAATGTCTCTTTCAGATCCTATGAGGGGTAGATACAGATCCGATCTTCCTGTAGTGTTAACAGTTGTAAAACATAATTATTTTTGAAACGTAAATTCACATTAAAAAATAAAGCAATTTGTTCATTCATCTACTCAACAACGAGGTACTGAGCACCTACTCAATGCCAGGTGTTATGCTAGGTGAGCACACAGAGTCCGTGCCTTCACGGCGCTCCTAGAACAACAGTAAGGAAGATGGACATCAGCGAACAAATAGCCACGTGGAAAACAGACTGTAAATAACAGTCAGGAGTGCTACCAAGGAAAGGTGACTGGTACCTCGTGAGCATGTATCTGCCCCCGCATACCTCTAATAGGGGTATCAGCTCTCGGTGGTTCTTTCCTCCAGGACGGGACAAAAACTTTGATGTAGGTGTGTCCTCTTTCCCTGAACCAGTCCACAGCCAGCTGGATGCCACGGCAAGAGAAGGCTTCTTTATTTCCATGGCTACAATGAGAAAACAAAGAATCTGTAGAGACATAGAAAGGGGTTCTAGAGAGTGATTTCCCCCAGGAATATCCTGAATCGTGGTGTCATAATCAATGGGAATCAGACAACGCTACATTTTTAAAAATAGTTAATTCTTTGCACAAAATACATCTCTTAACTGGAACCACGTAGCTTCTGATGGTTTATAGAGGGTCTTGCACTCCAGGGTGACAGCATTCCAAGGACTAATTGACCAGATTCTCTTACTAACTGAAGCTAATAAGAATCAACATAACATGGATGTGAGTTGTCATCTTCAGAACACTCACACTAAGAGAGGTTTGTGACTATGCTATTGGTCTCCTCATGTCCAATCAAGGAGGTCAACATGCCCCATAAACTCCATCAAAGACACTGATGATGGCAGGAAGGAGGGAGGGGTGTGAGAAGAGGTTCAAGACCAGGCAGAGCCTGTGAGCCTTATTGAAGACTTTGATTGCTCCTAAGAGGGACAAGAAGTCATAGAAGGGCTTTAAGATTGGGGGTACATGTGATATGATATGATGTGATCCACTGTATGTTTCAGAAAGTTCAATCTGGCAGCACAGAACACAATAAGTTGGGAGGGAGCAAGAGTGGGCATGGGGTACCACCAATTAAGAAGCTGTTGTATTCATCAAGACAAAAATGGATGTGACTTGGGCCAAGTGTGTGTTGGTGCATAAGGGAGTAGGTGAACTTGAGAGATATTTAGAAGGCAAAATCTCCAGAACGTGGTGATTGGATATAGACATCTGGCTTGTGTAACTGGACAGTGAACTTTTCACTGAGACAGGGAATTCTGGAGGACAGGGTTTACAGGGAAAGATCCCAAGTTTGGTTGTGGACAAATATTGAGTTGGAGATGAGTGTGGAAACAGTGGGTGCAAGCAGCAGCTGAAGCCGCAGCATGGAAACAGTTGCGTGGAGATAGAGTGGGAGGCCTAGAGCTGGCCCTGGAGACACTCTAGAACTCAACAGCTGGTCACAGGTAGAGGAGGGCAATCTTGCAGAAAGAGAGAAAGGATGTGAACCAGAAGAGTGCTGCATCGTGGAAGCCACAGGAAGGAGGCAGCCGAATGCTGCTGCAAAGGACCGAGGAGGTCTGGAAACAACCCTTGGACTTAGTGAGGTCAGTGGTGTTCTGCTGGATCGATTTGAATGACTGAGAACGCAAAGCCACTTGGACTTAGCTGTGAATGGGACGCAGCCTGGCCTCAAGATGAGATCACTAGGTGCTCACTGCCTCAGGCTCAGCCACCTGCACCTCATCCGGACCTTGTCCTGCCCTTGCACCTTCCTCCACTCCCCCGACAGAGCTGCCTCACCAGCCTGTCCTCTCCTCTTGGCCAGTCCATCCCTCTCCTCCCTCAGGCCTTGGCTTCTTCTCTGCTTGCTCTAAAAAGGCACCTCCCCAACTCTAAAGCCCGTGGGATTCCCTGTTATGAGTCCTCCAGCACCAGACTCCTCCTTCCTTTCTGGTGCTCATTACACTGGACGGTCACGCTCACCAGGGGAGGAATCAGGTCTGGCCCTCCCTAAGTCACACGGTTCCTCTGGTCTCCAGTGAGCTCCCAGCACCTAGCACAGGGCCTGACAATTGGTACAGACTGAATAAAAATGTGCTGAATAAATAAATGACTGAGAAGAAGCTGGTCTTGTGAGCAACTGGAGGAGAAACCACCCAGGCAAAGGAAAGAGCTGGCTGGAAAACCTGATGCAGGCAAGACTTGGCGTGTTTTGGAACCAAAAACGGGACTGTGTGACTGTAGCCTGTGGGGTGAGCAAAGGGGACAGTCGTAGAGGTGAGATGGGAGAGGCAGGGTAGGAATGTGGAGAGCCAGGGGTCACCAGGACCCTCAGACGCTCCCAAGAGGCCTGGCCTGCAGAAACAGCCCAAGTCTGAATGAGGATGCCACTTCGGATTTTCATTTCTGTGCTTTCTTTAGTCTGTGGCCTCTCCTGCTGTTCCCTCAGAGGGGATTAGGGGAGGTCCAGGTTTGTGAAGAGGAAAAGGGAGTGTTTGGGAACATGACCAAACAGTATTGGAAGTCGGGCTCGATGGAGACAGAATTCTAAGCTCCTTCCGCTCCGGGAGATCAGGAACCAGGCCTGGCTGCCTGCGTCTGCTGTGCCTTCCAGTTTAGAGAAAACAGCGCTTTGGCCATTGCGGCTGAGCTGTGAGGCAAACGGTAAGGAGAAAACATCAGTGGAGCTGTCTCTGTTGTTAAAAAATAAAGTAAAAAGAGGAAGTGGGAAGCTAGCCCCTTCCTCCCAGCGGAAGTTGAAAAAACAAAGGAGATGGAGGGAGAAGGACAGCGGGTCACACACAGGGTCCTCAGCCCTGCATCCCCCAGGCCTGCTCCCCCGAACTGGGCCATGAGGAGAGGGGAAATGGCAGAACATCAGGACGGATGTGAAGAGGAGGCCGAAGGCTCGAGCCTCAGCACAGCCTGGGCAGGCTGCAAGCCTCTCAGAAATCATGGTCTTGGTGGGCACAGCACCCCACAGCGCCACAGTGGCTGACAGGTGATCAAAGGCAACACGCCTGCTCCCTTGCACACCCGCAGACCTGGTGGGGTGCCTGAGGCTTGGCGATGGAAAAAGAGGCCCATGGGAGAGACAGCCCTTTATGCCAGTATGACTCAAAAGCCACCTGGAAGCCAGGCCAGCCCTGCCACTCTGCAACAGAGGGAGACCCTGAGACGCCCTCTCCCAGCCAACACCAGGTCTCAAAGCCCCCAGATGCCATTTGGGAGAGGACAAGGGGAGGGGGAGGAAACACAGAGCCTGAGTCTCCAAGAATTCAGAGATGCCGAAACATCCCAAACTGGCAAATTTAAAGTTTGCCCCTCCCCACACCTAAAAGGTGGGGAAGAGATTATATCTGCCCTAGAAAATAGGATCTATTGCCTGAGCACACTGAAGCAGTAATGTGAACAACTGACACCCCCCACCCCAAACACATGCATCTGTGGCTGCAGAGAAGTCTGTCCTCAGTCCGTTCTCAAGTAAAATGTCACTACCACGATTTCTTTCAAAAACTGCTTCTTGATTGTTCTCTGTTCTGTGACTACACCATTGAAAAGCCCACCTTTTCCCCCTAATACCTTTGATGGGCATGTGGTTGGGGGACAGGGAGAGAAACTGACCCCAATCCCTGTGAGGGGGCAGAGGCGAGCCGGTGTGGGTCCTGGGGACTCCAGTCAGGACCCCAGCTGGCAGTGGCCCTGGCTGGGGGCATGTAGACGGGAGGGTTCGGAGGTTCGGGAGTTCAAGAGTTCAGGAAGAGCCGCCCCCGTTAGCCTTGTGCAGCAAGCACTGGCCCCGTGGCCTCTCTCACACCAGACTCCACGATGCAGACCTTCAGCCAAGAGTCTCCAAAGGGCAGATGAGTTGCGCTAAGACCAGGGGAAGCCCGTAGCCCATCACAGCCCACTCTTCCCTCCCTCCCGAGGACGTGTCCTCTCCTCCAGCTTTGGTTCCAGGCACAGGGGAGTCCAAGCTGACCCTCCCGCCCCCTAAGTTGGTCTGCATGGAATAGAAGGTTTACATGCGGGTCCATTGCTCTGCAGAACTGAATTCCCACACACCCTACTCATAAGCCTCTGGTATCCTTTGAGATGGGAAGATGGTCTATTCCATCCTTGCCACATTTTTTTTTTTTTTTGCCAACCTCAAACCCCATTATGGCGACCCCTATTTCAGGCCACAGAAAGCTCTGGGCAATTGCCAGCTCAATGCCCTAGGCAGGAGTCAGCTCCCGCCATGGGGGGGTCCGTCTCTAAGAGGAGCCAGCGAAGACCCCGGTCAAGCAATAACACTCGTGGCCACCCCGGGAGCCCACTCCCCGCACACAGAGAAGTACCCAACCCAAAGGCAGCCCTCCACCTGTGCTTCCCCACGCACCCCAAGTCTGTTTGTGCACATCTACTTCACGTGGCTCTGGGAGGGGCGCTGGGAGAAAGGTGAACGAGACAGGGCTCACCCCTGCTTCTTGGAGCTCATCCTTAATACTGGCAGAGAGCCCAGTGTACCTGGCCACTTTGCACATGATCCTCATTTAATCATTACAACAAGCCCTTGAGAAAGTGACCTTCGTCCCATTTCACCCTTGAGGAAACTGAAGCAAAGAAGGTGCCCAGCTCGCTGACCCGGCAGCAGACCTCAGAGCCTCATTCTCGGGGCTGCAAACGCTTGCTCCCCTGCCCACATGGATTCCACTTATCCCTGCCCCTCCCCAGTCTCTGCCCCTGCGACCCAGGCAGCAGCTTCCTTGAGGCCTAAGTTTAGCTGCTGCTCAAAGGCTTGCGCTTTGGGGAGGGAGCTCAGTGCTTATTACTAGTCCCCGTGAACCAGTTTATCAGGCAACAGGCTGAGAGCCAGGCCCTGGGAAAAGAAAACAAGAGTGGCAGGTTTTGAATAAAGGGAGAGCGGTAAGGGGAAGTGGGGTGGTGCCTGAGACAAATTTTGCCTACACGACAGTCGTGTGCAGGACAGCCACAATCAGGGTGTCACCATTTACAGTAACCAGACAGCCTAATTGGGACACCACTTCGTCCTCAACTATTGCCCAAGAAGTCTCTGCAGAAGTTAGCGGCTCACGGAACGGGCCCTTCAAGGTATGACATGGGAGGGACCCCCACTGTCTGTTTCTTATTTGGGGTCAAGTTGTAAGCACTCTGCACCTGGAGTGATGGCCCTTCTCACCGAGAGATCCCCCCCCCCAGCCCAGGTCGGAAGGAAGAGACGGGGCAGTGGGCACTGCTGTGAGCACCATCACCCTACACACGGAGGACTGGGTGCAGACTTAGGTCGGAGGCCAAGGCCAGCGTTGGTCAGAGGGAACTGGCCCCCAGCCCGGGAGCACACCAGCCACTGGGAACCCATTGAGAGGGGCCAGACCAAGACCTCCCACAGTGGGCCTGCTTCTCCCATGGAAGACTACTCCCTTCCAAAAGAGCCAGATTCTGCTGAGGTTAGAAACATAAACAGCACCCCCCAAAAAAATCCCTCTACCCCAAATGAAGATACATTCAAATGAAACCCTTGCCCAAGGCAGTAAGAGGATGTGAAATTATCAGGTGGATTTCCCCCACACTGATCCTTCACATCATGCCTCTCCTAAATTTGCCTACGGAATATGCAACACTTGTGCCCCTGCCTGCCCCAAGCACGGAAATGCTGGTGACGGCTGTCACGTGAGAACCAGTGTCCTTCCCAGTCACCGTGATGTGGCTTGTAATGTGCTTTCAATGAAAGCCACCTTATTTTTAAAACCTCCCAGACATTCTTCTAAAGTCCAGGTATACAGTATGCAGCTCAATCTCCCTCTGTCATGCAGACACACACACATGCAACATGTACACACCCTGAAGGTGTGAGGATTGTACTTGGAAGCCAGTCTCTGTGATGCTACCCGCTCAGAGCCATCATGCAATACACCCTGATGCCCTGAGGGTCCCCAGAAGGTGGGCAGCAGCAGGAGAGGTATCCTTGGCACCAGTCCTGCAGAAGGCCCCTGGGCCCTGGTGAAGGATGGGAGGCTTAGCACATCCTGTCAGGAGCCGGCAAGTCCAAGTCCAGGGGTCACCATGGGCAGACTCTGGCCCCAGGATAAATGCCTGTGTGCGTCAGGGTCTCCCGCCTGGGTGAGACCCTTTCCAGGGCTGGACATGTGGAAAGCCAGAGGTACACAGTGCTGCAGGAAATGCAGGACTTTGGAAACAGCAAGGAATCCAGAGTCCATACTTAATGCTCTGTGACCTTGGCCCAGTTATTTGCTCTCTCTGAACCTCTGTCGAAGGAGAAAAATGCATTCATTTCTTTCAAGCCATGCATAAAATAATCACCTTAATTCCTAGAATGTTAGAGATAAAAACCCTTTAAGATTATTAGTATTTAGTCTGACCTCATAATCACATAAATAGGGTTCAAAAAAGGCGAGTCACACCACAGTCACATGGCTGTCAAGCTGAAGGGCTAGAGCTGCCCAATACGCACTCCCTACAGGAGGCTATTGGCACTTCATTTCAAGTTAATTCAAAAAATGAAAATGCATCCATTCAGTCACATCAGCCACCCTGCAGGTGCTAGGGAGTCGAAAGCGGCAAGTGGCCACCATAACGAGCAGCGCAGGTACAGAGCTTCTGTTCATTCCAGGGGGCTTCACGGGACAGCCCCAGGTTTGGGGTCACAACTCAGGTCTTCCTACTCTCAGCTCCCTGCTCCACCCCCTGCCTCTGACCTGGCTGTCTACATGAAACACGAGAGATTCACCCAAACTATGGGGCAGGCAGAAGGTCTGGCTTCCCGGGTCCCGTCTGTGCACTCCCAACACTGCAACTTAGAATCCTCACTGAAGCTGACCCATCCTTTCTGAAACAACAAACAAAGCCATCCGTCGGGCTCACCAGAGCCGAATGGACTCCCTCTGCTGTTACGACGAAGAGATGGAAGGTTTTTAGTTTGGTGGTGCTGTTCTATTTAAATGGGCTGACGACAGTACGTGTTTCATAAAGCAGGCCCATCTGTGTGCCCCAAACACATAGACTCCACTTCTTTTACAAGGCACTTGGCCAGTGACCCAGCTGCCAAGCAGTCGCCCCAGGCCCACTGGGTTCAGCCACTACACACAGCCTCAGGCTGCACATTCTGAAGCTCTGAGGAGAGAAGCCCATGGAAGCTTCTACACAACATGGGATGGTTGGAGCACAGGGGTGGAGGCCAGGACCTGACAGAGCCAGTGTTGACCTTGGCCAAGCCCATCTAGTCCCTTCCTGAGCTTCTTCCTCACTCAGCCAAGGTCAGGTGTCCAAGCTCTAACATTCTCTGTGCCAATGGAGGACCCATGCTCAGTGCCTCCCATAAAGCGTGGCATTATCTGTAATTTCTCATTCGACATCAGTGGTTCTTCTCATGTGGGGCATCACAGACAGTTTAAGTACCTACTGAAAGCTGTGGATCTTTTGCCCAGAGAAATACACACATGAACACACATGCCACATTTATGTATCATTTCAGGACACTGCTGGCTTTGGCAATAAAAGGGGCCATGAGCCAAGGAATGCAGACGGCCTCTAGAAGCTAGAAAAAGCAAGAAGCTTCCAGAGGGAACATGGCTCTTGATTTCAGCCCATCGAGGTCTATGCTGGACTTCTGAGAACACATTACAAATGCACGTGTTCTGGTTGATTGAGGAGACTTGTAGGCAGCAGGTGTGACAGACCTTTAATAATATCTGGAGGGATGACTGTCATTTGTACCTTGCACAGACTCAGCTGGAAGGGATCAATCTGATTACAATCGTGGGAGCTATGAGAGGGGGGACCAAGTGGATGCAACCAGGACGTGGCGTGCTCATGTGCAAATAGAGGATGTGGTTGCAATTTGAATTCCAAGCAGCAACAGAGACTTTCATCAAAAGGAAACCCTCCACCGCCACCCCAGCACAGCAATTCCTAAAAACCATCTGGTCCTCAGAGAGAGAACGCCTACACTTTCCTGCAGCACCTGAAGGAGTCTTTTCCTCCTACAGCCATTCTACTCCTTTGATCTGGAATCTCAGCGCTTCTGAAAACCCTGGCCTGCAAAGGTCTTCGGTTGCAGCCATATCCTCTTACATTTCTATCAATGCTCAGAGGGAGCTGTGCCAGACCAGACAGTGGCCAGGGCCCCTCTCACAACCCTTAGACCTTCTATCTAGGACCTTCAAAACCTACTGGATTCTTAAAAGTCCCTTATCTCCCCCGGAGATCTTGAGTAAAACAAGATCCCACAGGCTGGCTAAGAGCCTGTGCTTGAAGGTCCTAGAAACCCCCGAGGACCAGTTTCTAAGCCCTGGAGAAGGAAGGGCTCATTAGACCTAACCAAGCCCAGGGAGCCCCGGCTGGCTAAGGCGGACCCCACACACGCCAGGCAGGCCATGTAGGAGCAGCCCCTGAGGCTGAGCCATCTTGGGGTGAGCCATTCCAAACTTAGGTCCTGCCGTGACAAATGCTAAGTGTGACCAAGTCCCCAGAGAAAACCACCCGGCCTGTCAGACAAAGGGGGCCCTCTTGACACCTTCAGTGCTGCTGTAACACGGTTTTTCTCGATTCCCACCCACGGCTGAGCTTTTGAAAAGGGAAGCGTATCTATTTGCAGCTGTGAGTGACCAATTTCCTATGGCTCTGCCCTTTGCCCCCTTGTCACTAAGCCAAGTAGTAGAATAATGCACTTGTTTGGGTGAGGCTGCCCAGCGAGGAGTGTTGGGGAGGCTGCAGAGATTCTCTGACAGCTAAACTTGGCCTCCAGGAAAGACAATGAGGCAGGGCATGACCTTCTGATCACCAAAACACACAACTATTAACCACCAAGTCTGCAGGCTCGGGCCATGAGCTCACCTCTCCAACCCAGCTAGGAAACCACACCACCACCCCTTCTCACATAACCCCAGCAGAGGGCTTCCAACGAAGTTCAAGTACATTTTCCCGTCTGATTCTCACACCCTCAAAAGGAAGCAGAAGTCCTATCTAGTGGCCTGTGTCTCAGAACCGGAAACTTAAGAAACACAGCTTTCCCAGAATCACACAGCTGGTCAGGGACAGAATCCAGACAAGAAGCCGCTCCTCCGCAGCCATCCACTGCCTTCCCCACAAAAGGGCCTCTCCTGGGGTTAATATGATAACAGCTACCACTTGCTGAGCCCTTGCTGTGTGGCAGGTACTGTCCTAGGCATGTTGGGCAGCTCCCTTCTAGGGAGGTTTTATACTAACAGTACTGATGGAAAAAGTGAGGCTCAGACAGGTTAAGTGACAGACTTAAGGCCACACAGCTACTAAGAGGTAGAAGAGGGATTCAAAGCCCCATCCACCGGCCCCAAGTTGTTTGGACCAAACCACTGAAAAGAGGGGCAGTTCTCCCACCCCTCCACTATGGAATGAAGAAAGCTATACCTCATTGCCACGTTGCTGCCATCAATCACAATGGGTCTCAAGGAACTGGCTAGGTCTCCGCAGTCTTCCTCAGGGTCAGTCCTCAGCCCACGCTGGGTGGAGTCCGGGGTCCCGCAGGAGCCCCGGGGAACCAGCAGGGGTGCAGGGCTGCCTTGGTGGGCTCCGGGGCGGCTGCCTGTCTGGATCAGCTCCTGCAGCATGTCGTTGACCAGGGCGCCCTCGCCCAGTTTGTCCAGCACCCTGAGCACGTCCTCCCGGTTGTAGCCTAGCTTCAGGAAAAACTCCATCTTGCTTGAGTGCTCCATGCTGTGCCAGCCAGGCCCCTGGCAAGGGTCCTGCTGTCTGCTTCCTCCTGGCAGAGCCCCACCAGCATGAGCTAAAGAGAAAGAGCATCCATCAGTTGTTTTCTGGGCAGCCTGGCTGTCAGGTTACTGAGGGCAATCGATCTGTGCTCCCTCCACACCTTATCTGTCAGGAAATCGTGTTGAGGACGCCTGGTCCCCGTGGGGATTTTCAGTTGCTCAGTGTGGTTGAGCAGCCACAGATGCAGTCACACTGCTTCTACTAGCGCACTCTTTCCCAGGCCTTCACCCCACACAGAGCCACCCCCCAACACAGCCAGAGGCACCAAGGGCCTCTGAGAAGGCCACCCAGGGCTCAGGACACTTGTACACAGGCCGAAGAAATGTTTCTGAGGCTCTGTTGTGGGATGATTTGTGTCCACCCCAATTCATATTTTGAAGCCCTAACCTCCAATGCCTCAGAATGTGACTATACTTGGAGATGGCATCTTTAAAGAGGTAATTAAGTTAAAATGAGGTCATTAAGGTGGGCCCTGATCCAACAGGACTGGCGTCCTTGTAAGAAAAGGAGATTTAGACACGGGTGGGTACAGAGGGAGGACCAAGTGCAGAAACAAGGAGAAGGCAGCCGTCTACAAGCAAAGGAGAGAGGCCTCAGAAGAAATCGACCCTGCCCACACCTTGGTCTCAGAATTCCAGCCTCCAGAACTGTGATACAATAATAATAACATAAAATATTATTATAGAATAGTATATATTATTATATAAAATACCATATGTATATCTCCAAGATAACCAAGTCTGCGGTGTTTTGTTATGGCGGCCCTAATAAACTAATACAGTTCCTTGGCTTAAACAGGGGAAAGTGTCCCCTAGTAAATTTTATTCCCAGCAAATGTGCCCAAATTCAGCTCTGTGTACTGGCTCAGCTCTCCCTAGCAATTCATTCAGACCATACTGAACCACTAGAATGAAAGGTCCTAACTCAAATGTGATCCATTCCTCCAGGCATCACTGCCTGGCCTACATTTTGGAGGGGGGGGGCAGGGGAGTGTTGTGCAGGCAGGGCCTGCAGCCAGATGTTTACAAAAAGATGATCAAACCAGCGGGAACACTGTGGACAGACTGGGTCCCCTTCTTATCTACTCACAAAGAACAACATTTTTGAAAAACCATTTAGAAAATTCATGAAATTAAATTGACTGAAAACCTGAAACAATGCAGAAGTGTAAGACTAAAGGGACATACTGTCTCTCCATATACACCCCAATCCCACCTGTCCCTCCTGCTGAGTACTTGTCCACACCCTCCAGCATTTCTTCTATGCATTTCCTTGCATATGTAACAGATACACACATATATTATTTAGGGGGATTGTTTTTACATAAAGTGTAATACTGTATGTGATGTTGAGCAACTTGCTTTTCTTAATAAAAATGAGTTTGGTAACTCTTTCCACACCTGTTTATCTGTGCTGCAGTCCCTGTATCTCCAGCATTTAGAACAGAAGCTTGGAACACCTGAACTTCAGTGCATTTGTTGGATGGATGGATGGATGGATGGATGGATGGATGGATGGATGGATGGATAGATGGAGTTTAGTCACATGCCAAATGATGAAAATTTAAATTGTCCTCCATTTTCTCTGGTTACAAACCATGGACCATGGAACATTTGTGCCCATCGATCTTGGTCTTGACCTTCAATTCCTAGTCTCCCACTGGAGCCCCCTGCAGTATTCCCATCTCTCCTCTAGGTTCCCAGCTTGGCTTCTCATCCTCACGCCGAACGTCCCCCTACAGTGCTAGCACCCAAACAGAACTGACAGGGACAGGGGCTGGAAGGGGAAGAGCATTTCTCAGCCAACCTCCTAGACAGAGAGGCCTCTGCTGCCCCCATTTGCCACCCCCAATTCTGCCTGGGCCCACTGACTGCCGGAACCCCCAAACGGCCCTCCACAGTCACGAGTGACCCCCTCCCTGCCAAGTCCAATAGCGGCTTCCCATTCCCTACCTTGTACAACCTCTCCATTGCTTTTGACACTGTGGACAACTCTCTACCTTGTTATTTTAAATCAAAAATGTTTGTAAAACCTCCTGCTTGAAACTCTCTCTTCTCCCTTAGGTTGCACAACTTGTCCCGAGTCTCTTCCTAAGTCTTTCCAGTTCTTTCCTTGACCTCTGCTCACTTGTTCAATGGTGAGGTCCTGCCCAGGCCTCTTCTCTTCCCTCTCATGTCTCCCCAGCCCCTACATAAATGAGCCCACAACTGCTCTTCTGGCTCAGGTCCCTTACTAAGCACCAGGCACACACGGTTATCTGTGAAATAACTGTCACATGTGTTATTTGAATCAAATGTTATGGGGACTCAGAACACTGTAATTTACCAGACATTTGCTGAGTCTACTTCAGTGTGGTTCTCAAAGTGTGGTCCAGGGAAACCGGGAAGCACCCAGGACCCTTTCAGGGAATTTGCAAAGTTAAAATCTGTTTCCATAACAATGCCCTCCTCTCGAGAGTGTACCATGAAGTATTCCAGAGACTACACATCTGTGATACTCTGATAGTTTGATGCAGAAGCAGCTATGAGATTCTAGCTCTCTTCTATTAGGCCAGATAGTAAAGAGATTTACAAAAATGTACATTGGTACCGGTCTTCTTATAAATTTTTTGTTTTGGAAAGTAGTTATTTTTCATAGAAATATGCCATTTATATTAATGTCATTGGTTTATTATTTTAAAATGAATGAATATGTTTTAATTTCTTAGTTTAGTTTCTAATAATGGATAGATTAGACAGATAGATAGATAGACAGACAGACAGATAGACAGATGAACCCACATAAACAGAAACTCTTTGGGGTCCTTAACAGTTTTTAAGAGTGAAAGGTTGATTGAAAACTAAAAAGGTTTTTTCTTAACTTCAGAGTTTTCCAGTAAGTATTTCCACATAGATGGGTCTGTGTGGGTGGCCTAAAGACATGTCACCCAGGGCCCAGGACAGAGGCCCAGTGTCCTCCCTCGCTGAGTCTGGCCCCTGTCATACTCATCTCCTACTGCCCACCTGCCCCACCCGAGCCTCAGTCTTGCCTTCTTCATCCCATGCACAGTGCCCAGCAGCCACCTCCAAAGGTCTCCCTTCCGAAATCCCATCTGGTGCCACCCCCATTTGTAGCCAGCACTGTATTTCTAGAACAAGTCTGACCATGTCGCCTACTGCTTACAAATACCCTCTGAGCCCGTGTCGACAGGAAAGGCACCAGTTGCTGAGCAGGCTGCTGAGCTATCCCAAAGCAGTGTGGGTCCCTGTCCACCTCACTGCCCACCCGCTCTTTCTAGAGCCATGCTGAATCTCTCCCTGCTCCCCAAGTATTCTAGAACATTCTCACCACTGTGCTTCTGTTTGTGCTTTCCTCTCTACCTGGAATGTGCTCTGGTTTGGCAAACTTCAAGATTCAGCTCAAATGCAACTCAAAGTGGTCATTGCTAACTCCACAGACAGAATGAGTTACAACTCCACTAGCCACTTTGCTCACACCTGTTATGACTCAGTGAATTGTCATTTATCTAAATATTTTTCAAGAACCTGTGAACTGCATTCTGACTTACTTGCCTCAGAATCAGCAATATCTGGCATAGTGCCTAGTCTAGCTGAGGAGTTTAATAGATTTTTCTTTCATAAATGTCCAAAGCTGAAATTATCTTTTCTCCTCATATACTTTTTTTCTTGGGTTCTGAATCTCATTGAATGGCATCCACCCAGAGAAGAAACCTCAGTCACCTTTGACTGTTCCTTTCTCTCACTTCTACATCCAATTGGCCATTAATTCTACTTCCTGGACATTTTCCATAACCATCGTCTCCTTTACACTCACAGCACCACCATCCTAGTTTGTTCATTCATTCATTCATTCACTCACTCACTCACTCGTGTAACAAATACTGATCACACAGGAGGCACCCAGCACTGAGCTGCAACCCAGTTCTATAAAAACAAAATAATACAGTCTCATTTCAATTCATTTACAACCTATTTGGGAAAACAGAGGGAAAAAACATAAAAAATAAGCCATAAGTTATGATGATAGGCACAACAGTTCTGGTATAAACACGTGTTTTCAAAACACAGGTGAGGAATGATTTATCATCCTTTGGGGAAAAGGAGAGACCAGAAGGGCCCTCACCGACCTGGACAGCAAAGGAGGAAGTGGCCCTTCCCAATCCCAGCAGGGCCACAACCTCTCTCCCAGGGCTCCCGGAGGGCTCCCGGAGGGCCCCCTTACCAAAGGCTCACCCACATCTCCAGTCAAGTTAGTGCACTGATCAAAAAGCTCTGTGTCTTCTCCAAAACGTCCATGTGCCTCCATCCTCTGCAGAGTGAGGGTCAACACTCGGCAGCGACAACATCCGCCACCACTTTCCAATCTCCTTGGTCACATACCTCCAGTCCAGCCTCTCCTTTTTCTCTTAACTAGTGACCAGTCCCTTCTCAGAACACCATTCCCTTGGGCTGGGGTCGGGCTGGGGTCCAATCTCCACAGAGGAAGAGGTCACTCCCCTGATCTGGCGGCCCAGCCTCACATCAGGACTTGCTCACTGTCCCTGAAAGGCCTGTGGTCTCTCGGCTCCCTCTGCCTGGAGCGCCGACCCTCCTCCCCTCCACCTAACCCGACCGCCCTGTCTTCCCTGGAGCCTTCCCAGAGTCCAACGCTCCAGCTCCGGTCCGCTCTCGCCCCGCCCCCTGACGCATGCGCGGGAGCACCTATTTCAGCAGGGATGCGTGAGGGAGAAGGGAGGAGAAAGGAAGACTGGGAGAAAGAGAAAAGAGAAGGAACTGAAGTCGGAGAGAAGGAAGGAGCAGAAAGGCAGAAACAGGCAGCACGAACATAAAAGTTCATTTCACATGGGTCCTCAGTGCTTCCACGTCGCTCTCACATCGAGACTCTTCCTTGGACCTCCCGGGATCTCTGGCGGGGCGAAGAGACCGACGAGGCTCCGAGCGGTACAGAGTGAGGGTGACAGAGCCAGTTGGCGGCGACAGACAGGAAAGCGATGCCGAAAACCACGTGTGGCTCTGAGCCGCGTTCAGGACGGAGGCAACATCTCGTCACTGCAGAGGCGGAAAATCCAAAACATGACTGGGTCAGGTGACTTCTCTCTGGTCACAAGTAGCTGCGAGGAGAGTCCGTGTCAGTTTTTATAACTTTGCATTCTGGTGGGACGAAACCTGAACGTTTTCAAAATAAAATAAATGCAAAAAAAAAAAAAAAACCCTCTGGTGGTTTCACCCGGGGGCAGGGGGCGGAGTGGGGAGCACGTGGCCACTTAAGGCCCCATCCGCAGCGCTGGGCACAGGGGCCCTCAGGTTCCGACAGAGCTACTTTGCTGAAGAGAATTAACTGAAAATAATCCTCCCACTTCAGAGGCTTTTTCTCCCCCCCTGAGACATCGAAGTCAATTTCATTTCCTTTTCAAACTTCTTCTAAATAAGGGAGAAACCTGGGGCTGTTCTCCGGAGCCTGCTGAGGCCCTCGTAGGACAGCCCGCCCACCTCCGGACCTGCGGGTCTCAGAGTTGGACCAGCAGCCCTGCCCGCGGCTTCTTTTTCCTTTCTATTTTTAAGACCTGACAGTGTGAGCAAGTTCATTTTAGTTTTCTTCCGCAATCTTGACTGGAAGTCACAGACAGCACCGGTGATGGGTGACTCGTTGCAAATCTTCAAAGTCTCCTCATGAGCTCGCCCCACGGTCGGCAGCTTTTGGGGGTCCGCCCCCCAGGACTGTGGCGGCGTGTTCGCAGTGAAGCCGGAGTTCGAGGCGACCTAACCAAACAGCGTGGAGGGAAGGCAGGGACCCAGAGGGAGGAAAGTGGAACCTCACAGTGTGGAACGGTGAGAACCGGGCCGAATCTGAATCCTTCTAGAATCAACCAGTCCAGACCAAAGGTCTGCAAACGCTGACTACAAGAGCTCCCCACAGGAAAAGGATAAAAGGGAAACAAGAAGGAGGAAGTGAGAGTGAGACCTGTGGAAGGCCAGTAACTCGACGTGTGGACAGGATTTCATTCTTGCAAGGTGCTTCCTTATGCGTTATCTTTGGAAATCCTAACATCCCTGCGAGGTAGGAAGAGCTACCTCATTACTCCTGCTGCAGGTGAGAAAACTGAGGAAAAGAGTTTTGCTGACATACCCTAGGTCCCACAGCTGATAAACTGGGGAGACTAGACTCCCAAGAGCAGTGATTCCCGCCTTCTCCCAGGTCCGAGGGGCTACCGAGGGCCCCTCAGGGCCACAGGGCAGGGTGAACCCAGACATCAGCCCCAGAATGAGCACATTCAACCCATATCCCTGAGCCCCCTCTGCCAGCTCCAGAGAAATCCACCACACACGGCTTCCAGAGCTCACCCACCGTGATGCCGAGAAACTTCTTCTAAATAGAGTCCAGGCAGAAGTTTTGTGGTTCAGCTCAGCTCTGGAGCCCCTCAGTGGACTCAGATGGATTTTGGGGAGGTTACAGAGAGGCAGAGACTTCAGCCCATGCCTGGGCTTTTATTTTATTTTTTAAGAGAATGAACAAATTTTTTAATTGTGGTAAAATGTACATAACATAAAATTTACCATTTTAACTATTTTTAAGAGTGCAGTTCAGTGGCATTAAGCAACCATTGGTACCAGCCATCTGTAGAACTTCTTCATTTTCCCCAGTGGAAACTCCATACAAATTAAACACTAATTCTTTATCCCCTCTCCCTCATCCCCTGGCAACCATCATTCTACTTTCTGTCTCTCATGGAATCATATAGTATCTGTCCTTCTGTAACCGGCTTATTTCACTCAGCACCTTGTCTTCAAGATTCACCTTTGTTGTAGCATGTGTCAGAATTTCCTTCCATTTTAAGGTTGAATAATATTCCATTACGTGTACTATATATACCACATTTTGTTTGTCCATTCATCCGATGATGAATGGATACTTGGGTTGCTGCCATCTTTGGGCTTTTATGAATAACACAGCTATGAGTGTGGATGGACTGGCCTGGCCTTTTGTTTTTGCCTCAAACTTGTCCCCTGCTCTTCTGTGCCACTATGGACTACTCCAGGTGCACACATGAGAATTTACAGCCCTGATCCAGAGCCCTGGGCAACTCCAAACCAAAGTTTTAAAAAAAAAAACCCTCTACTATATTTCACTCCCAACCTATTCACATGTTGGCACCCCTGAGCTGGCATCACTGGTCCTTGAAGAAGAGTTTATGACTTGGGGGGCTATGGCTGAGGTTTCCAGTGGTAGCAAAGAACTAGCCAAAAGGGTCTTCACAGCCATCAGATGAAGATTGGTTTCACTGTGCTCATACGCCTTCTCAAAGCCTACCAAGCAGCCTCTAGAGGAGACGGTGTCTGGAGCTGCTGCTCTGTGTTCCTGGTCTGCCAGGAGACTGGGCGCCCCCACGCCAGTCTCTAGCCTAGAAGATGCTTTCAGGAGTATGGAGACAGGCTTCAAATGTGCCTGAGATCCTATGCCTTTTGATTGAATAAAATTTTAAAACCCCTTCAAAGACTACAGCAGAATTTCTTACTTAAACCAAGGAGCTTTCTCCAATTAATCTTTTTCCCACAAAAGCCATCTTGAAATTAAAGATGTTTGCTAAAATGAACAAGGATCTCACCTAAGGAAAATTTAAAGTGCTTACTATTTTTTTATCTGAGCACTTACAATTTAAGGCATGGGAAATCAGAGTCCCCATCCAAGAACTGCTCTTCAAACTTCACACCCCTCCCCCACATAGTTCTGTCTTTCTTCACACAAGTCTGTACAGTGTTTGAGACAGACCGATGGTCAGGGGACATGCACTCACCAGCAGAGTGTGTTGCTCCGGTCCTCACAGCAGAGTGACTCCTGTGCTCCCCTCGGCTCGCCCAGCTGCCAGCAGCTGCTGCACTGCTCCTCTCCGCCCAGCAGACCAGGTGTCACTAAAGCCAGGGGAGTGCCCAGCTGGGCCACATGGCCGTTAGGAGAAACTTTATGCCACAGCCCCACTTCCTGGATGCCAGAGTCACGTTCAGCTGCAAAGGTACTTTTGCTTTGGGTTGAAAAAAAAAAGGAAAAGGAAGAAAGCAATCAAATGAGGGAGGGAGATTTCAAGCCTGAGCCCCAGCATGAGTCACTGAATCAAAGTTTAACCACCACATGCAAAAGGGACTCTCAATGAGGGCACTGGCTGGCTGCACAGCAAAGCCAGGAGGGACTCACAGATGGCAAAGCACAAACCATGAACAGTCCAAGGGTGGAAACTTTGGTTCCAAGGTCCCACTCAGGCCTCCAGCTAAGAGCCACTGATCCCTGATACTCCTAAGGGGGGGGGGAGGGTCAGGGCTCACAACTAACTTTATAAGAAGAATACAGCATGTAGGAGTGAAGAGTGTCAGAGCAAGGGAGAAACCAGAAATGAATGTATAGATAAATGTGCAGAGTCCCAAGAAAGTCACCAAGTCCTTTGGGCTGGGGGACTAGGGCACTTGCCTTTGTCAGGGCTATGACCTTGGGCTCCCCTCGCTGCAGCCCCGTATGGGGTGGGCAGCTGCTTCTCTGTCACCGTGCCTGAGGAACCTGACCCCAGACCCATTCTGCAGTCTGGCCTGCCATTAGCCTCCATGGGTATGGGCAACAGACCCCGATCTCTATGTTTATTTCCTGCACTTGAGGATGCCCATCAGGGGTCAGGATAAGACAAAGAACACAATCAAATCATACAGCAGCCCGCCTCCCAACAAATGACAATGTCTTTGAAGTGACTGTTGGGAAAATTTCCCAGGGCCCGGGACCGAAGAAAGAGACTGACTATTCCATCACTGCATCAAGGTTTTTTCCAGGGAACTTACGAGGTGCATCTTGGCAAGATGAAGTAATATCCTCCTCCCCTTGTGGCAGGTGCTGAAGAATGATGTATAACAGAGCGGTGGGTAGGAGTCCTGGATGTGACCTGCCCCCGATACAGGGGAATCGCCTGACAGACTTGCAGGGGGTAGGGCAATGGGCTGTTCCAGGAATCTGGGAACCAGCACGCCTGCCGCACAGGCCAGGGGCCCATCAGGCAGTTTCTGAGGGGATTTACAGGAAGCAGACTCTGTTTTGGCTTGGATCTAACTGAGGGTCCACTGGCAGTCACATCATGGAACTGTCTCTCCTCCATATTGACTAGTCCAAGGATACACATCAGCCAATTGACTGGGCTGGGTTTAAAAACTAGAGCTGGTGCTGAGGAAATAAGAAGGGCACACGTGAACCGGGATGTGCTCCTCTTCTTTCTTTATTCCCCATCTGTCTCCCACAGAAGAGTTGAGGCCACCTGCAATATAGAATGGGAGAGTTGACATAAAAATTAAAAGTACAATCTGAAATCATTAGAAAAAAGAAGAGCTTCCAGTCCCAGGTGCTTCAGGAGCTGCAGGCTTTGGTGAGGACAAGGCCAAGTATAAGAACCATACCACGCAAAACCCAGTCCCCCAAATGGCACAGAAATGGCATCAAGAAACCCTGGTCGTGAAGATACAAGTCTCTTAAGGGGGCAGACCCCAAGTTCCTGAGGGGCATTCACTTTTCCAAGAAGCACAATAAGAAGGGCCTGACGAAGATGCAGGCCAACAATGTCAAGGCCATGAATGCATATGCTGAAGCTGTCAAGGCTCTAGTAAAGTGCAAGGAACTCAGGCCCCCAAGATCCCAAAGGGCAGCAGCCACAGTTCAGTTGGCCCCAAGCTTGAGAAACATGCTTGTGCCTGCACTGTCAAGGATCTCCAGCTCTGCTGGTCAAAGGCCAAGACCAAGGCTCAAACCAAGGCCCAGGCTACAGATGTGGTTGCAGCTCAGCCTCCAGCTCAGGCTCCAAGTCAGGCTCAGGCTTCCAAAGTGCCCAGGACCCCACAAAGGCTCCACGGTAGAGGACTCTGTCTGCTGACCAGGATGGAAGGACTGGTTGACCCCTCAGCTCTGTCTGCATGGGACTGGTGACCTCCTGTGCTATTTGTGCAAATAAACCTGAGGCAGGACCTGTCCAAAATAAAGAAAGAAAAGGGGGGAAAAAAAGACAGAAAAAAGAAGAATATTTTACTAGAAACCTATGTTAAAATTGTCACTTTAAGCACTGATTTGAACTTTGATGGATTTTCTAATAACAGCTACCATTCATCAGCATCTACAGTATATTCAGTACTTTCCATCAAAGTGTCCTAATCTCCAGGGAGGCATAGAAATTATTTCCATTTTTGAGGTAGGTCTTTGGGGCTGAGAAAAAGAAACTAAACTGCCCAAGTTCACTCCAAGGCAGGATAGAAACCCAGGACCACCCAGTGGGCTCCAAAATACACTCTTTATACCAGCACAGGGCCTCTCAGCTTCCAAACCCCTCATAGAGCATGCTGGGCTTTTAGGAGATATCCTGGTATTAAATTTTAGTAGAAATCTACAATGAATAACATATCAGATCCAATCCTATAGGTGTTGGAAGGCGGGTCTTCAAATGCCCATTCTTCATCAGAAGCCTCAGTGAAAGCTGAGTTGTTACACCTCAACTTGGGGAAGGTGTTTCTATGGGGAAATGTACTATAACGTAGTCTGGGAGCCTTGTTCTCTGATCACCTAGCCGATTAAGCAACAGAATTTACAGACACTGCCAATGGGCACCTTGGATGGTCTCTTCCAAATGCCACATGACTAAGTCCCATATTTTTTAGTCCTAGGCTAGTAAGGAAGGAATTCTGAGGAGAGGGCCAAGGGCCACCATGCTGCGCACTCAATAAAAGACAGACCCAGGAAATGAAACTCAAGAATCCCGATTTATATTCAACCCCAGGTGACTAGCATCTCTGTACAGGACAGACACTATGGTGGCCATCACCAAACTGCTTTGCAAAGACACATTTGAACCTGCTCAACTAACAGACAAGCAAGTATTTGGCAGAGGCCCCAGAATTCTGTGTCTGAAATCTTGGAGACACTATATTGACCAGTTATTGCTCGGTTGTCTGCATAGGAATCAACGTATGCTGCCTTTACAGTATGTGATTTACAGAAACCCCATTGTGATTCCACTACAGCTAAAATGACTTAGCTGCGGACTTCCGCCAAGGTGGAGGCATAGGTGGAAATACTTTGCCTCCTCGCACAGCCAAATCTAAAAACAATAAAGTTTTAACAACAATAAAAGCAACCAAACCACACAGAAAATCGAACAATACAGAGTCTGAAAAGAACAAACTGCTCAGCTAAACTGGTGAAGAGGGGCAAAGCCAGCAGCGGAGTGGGTTGAGCAAAAAAGATCCCCTAACCCAGGTGGTGCACAGGCAGCCTAGGGCGCAGATCCCAGGTGCGGGCTAGTTACGGGGGGACCCAGGGAAGAGGCAGAGGCTGGCTGTCTGCAGTTGGTTGCGCATTTGCGTGCAGATAAACCAGTGAAGAGGCAAGCATTGAGACAGATCGTGAAGGCCCCAGCGGGGCAGGGCAGTGGGCTCGTACATTTGCGCTCAGATAAACTGGCGGGGGTGAGCGGTGAGGAAGACTGGGCGAGCAGAGAGGACTGCCATTGCTCCCAGTCTGACCCTGCCACCACATACAGCGTCACAAACCAGCGACCTGGGTGGCCCCGCCCTGGTGAACATCTAAGGCACCTCTCCTCACACGTAACAGGCACAAACAGATCAAAACATGGCTCAAGAACAACTCAGAGCCCCCGAGCTAATAAATCTAAGTGATGAAGAAATAGCCAAACTTTCAGATGCACAGTTCAAAACACTGGTGATCAGGATGCTCACAGAACTGGTTGATTTTAGTCACAAATTAGAGGAACATATGAATGCTAAACTAACTGAAATGAAGGGAAATGCACAGGAAACCAATAGTAATGGAAAGGAAATTGGGACTCAAATCAAAGGAGTGGACCAGAAAGAGGAAAAAAAATGACCAAACAGAAAAAGATGAAGAAACAAGAATTCAAAAAAATGAGGAGAGGAATTCTATGCAGCAGAGAGAAAGAAGGAGCTACTACCCTTTGCAACAACATGGATGGAACTGGAAAGCATTATGCTGAGTGAAATAGGCCAGGCATTGAAAGACAAATACCATATGATCTCACCTTTAACAGGAAGCTAAACAACAAAACAAACAAGCAAACAGAGTAAAAACAAAGACACTGAAATAGAGAACAAGTGGGCAGCAACCAGAGGGGAGAGGGAAGGGAATTTAAGGGGGAAAAATGGGGAGGGATTTTGAGGAACAAGTATGAAAGACACAGGGATGAGGACTGGGGGGGGGGGGGATGGGAGGGAGGTAGGGAGATGGGGCAGGGGGGCTGGGATGGGAGAAATAGACAAAAAACTGTACTTAAAAAATAACAAAATAAAATTTTTTTTAAAATGAGGAGAGGCTTAGGAACCTCCAGGACATCTTTAAATGCTCCAACATCCGAATTATAGGGGTACCAGAAGGGGAAGAGGAACAGCAACAAGTGAAAACCTTATTTGAACAAATAATAAAAGAGAACTTCCCCGTTCTGGCAAAGAAAATAGACTTCCAGGAAATCCAGGAAGCTCAGAGAGTCCCAAAGAAGTTGGACCCAAGAAGGAACACACCAAGGCACATCATAATTACATTAGCCAAGATTAAAATGAATGAGAGAATCCTAGAAGCAGCAAGAGATAAGGGGACAGTCACCTACCAAGGACTTCCCATCAGACTGTCAGCAGATTTCTCAAAAGAGACCTTACAGGCAAGGAGAAGCTGGAAAGAAGTATTTTAAGTCATGAAAACCAAAGGCCTACAACCAAGATTGCTCTATCCAGCAAAGCTTTCATTTAGAATGGAAGGGCAGATAAAGTGCTTCTCAGATAAGATCAAGTTCAAGGAGTTCATCATCACCAAGCCCTTATTATATGAAATGTTAAAGAGACTTATCTAAGAAAAAGAAGATAAAAAAGATGAACAGTGAAAGGACTGCAAACTCACAGTTATTAACAACCACACCTAAAACAAAAGCAAATTAAGAGGACAGCTAGATCAGGAGTGAACCATAGAAATGAA